CGTCTCTCTCTCTCTCTCTCTCTCTCTCTCTCTCTCTCTCTCTCTCTCTCTCTCTCTCTCTCTCTCTCTCTCTCTCTCTCTCTCAGGGTTAAAATTTTGATGAACATATAGTTTTCTGCATTTTCAGTCCGATCAGAAGGCCGGAAGCTTAAAGGAAGAGGTTGAGGCAATGCTTCCACAGCTAGAAGAGATGAGAAAGAGGAAGGTTGATCGGATAAATCAATTTTCAGATGTTTTGGGGCAAATTCAGAAGATTTCAAGGGAGATCTCTGGCTCAACACTCCACAATTCTTCCAAGATTATAGTTGATGAGAGTGACTTATCACTTAGAAAACTTGAAGAATTCCATAACCAATTACAAGCACTCCAAAAGGAGAAGGTTAGATAGCTTTTCTGCACACCCATGAGCCGTTTCCTTTTCTCTTAATTGGGGGTCTCAATTTCACATGTTTGTCTCTCACTTTTGGGTTGTTTTAAATATCTCTTCTTTTTTCTTTTTCTTTTTTGTAATTGTTTCCCTTTTATGGGGGGTATTTGATTTTCTGGTGTCTTAGAACTGTTATCTTTGCAGAGTGATCGCCTGAAACAGGTCATGGAGCATATGAATTCTTGAGTGGATTGTGTGCAGTGCTTGGTATGGATTTCTTGAGTACAGTTAGGGAGGTCCACCCTAGTTTGGAGGATTCTGAAGCATCAAAGTGCATTAGCAATGAGACTATTGATAGGTTGGCCAATGCCATACAGAAGTTGAGAGAGGTCAAGATACAGAGAATGCAGAAGGTATGTAATTTCTTCTAGTCTTTTCAATGGTATTAGTGAATTATGATAAATTTTATTTTTGAAATCTCTGATATCCTTTATCTAACTTTGACAGCTGCAAGATCTAGCAACTACAATGTTGGAGCTGTGGAATTTGATGGATACACCTGTAGAAGAGCAACAAGTGTTTCAAAGCGTTACCTGTAACATTGCTGCTAAAGAACATGAAATTAATGAACCCAATAACCTCTCTGTGGATTTCATCAATTACGTAAATCTCCTTATCTTATTTTTCCATGTTGTTATTTTTGTTATTTTATTTGAAGGGCTACCCAAATCTTTCATATGCTATTTTTTAAACCTAGATATGCAAAATGGTCATTGCTAACTGTAGAAAAATTTCACTTTAAAGTTTGATACCTTCCCTCTAAAATAGTGCAACAACCAAGAAAAGGAGTTTCACGTGATGGATGCTCACATGATCAACCGAAAAATGATGAGGTGACATTTTTAATGATTTAATCAGTCCTATAACAATCCACAGACATTAAGATCTTTCACCATATGCTTCAAAGAAAACCTTACAACCAAGAGCAAGAGGGAGGAACCTTTAATTATTTCTTCGTCTCTTCAACTTTCCACTGAAAAACTCCTCAGATTTTCTACCTTGCACAAAAAGTTTTGACAAAATATTAGAACTCCAATAAGCAATTGACTAGCCTATGTATTTAATAATCACCTATTGACAATTTATAACTTGAATTGAAACAATGAGATTTACAATGTTATCTTTCGTTTGATGCAAATGACTGAGAAACCACAATTACCATGATACACAATCAATTTGATGCAAATGACTGAGAAACCAGAATTACTATGATATACATGGACATTTATTATTTACTGCATTTTTCATTCAAAAATAAAAATGGTGAACAAAGATAGGTGATCAAATGGAAATTTATAAACTTTCCCTATTTGATCTAGAAATCGTATATTGGCTAGCCTCATTACGCATCTTACTAATTAGCTTTTAGATCCTCAGAGCAGGATTTTTCAGTTTTCAACTAATAAACTGTGCTGTAATAAATAAACAATTAAATCCCATAGAACTCTACTCTTAAGTTGGTCCTACCAATGAGGTGTTTCTACTGTTGTGAATTTTACCCCTGATTGCCAAACTACTAACATAGCCTGCTGAATTTTCTTGACTCGTTCACATCTTCATGTTTTATACTATCAAATTACCTCTTTTGCTTCTTAATAAATAACATTCTACAAGCATGCCTTCATTTTAGTCTTAATGTTAAACATTTCTCTAAATATAGTTCAATTCACACCCTAGGCTTTACCACCTATGCCTGTGTTTATGTGCCAGTGAATCTATTTGCATGTGGTGAAGGAACCTAAGACTGCCTGGCATATTTCAATGCCAACTATTGTCCAAATGCCTAAAAAAATAGACCTAGGAAGCCACACGGAATTGTTGACTGTGAATGTCTAATGTTTCCTTTAAAGCCTTTAACTGTCAGCATCATTTTTCATCCTAGACTTCCACTTGTTTCCTATATCCTTTAAGACTTTAGAGCCTTTAATTGTCACCAGTTTTTGCCCTTATCAAGACATTCTGCACATGAAGGGAGGATAATATGCATTAATCTCATTGATGGTAGAATACTATTCTCCATTTTAGCCATTTCTATCCAATGCAATGATTAGAGATGAAGGAGAGAGTGGGATCAATCCTGCCTCGCAAGACCCAAAGACGAGAGCATTCCACTCCCTCCATCATTTCAACATTCAAATCACCATTTGTTATCCCATTAAACGGTGACGATGCCATTGAATTGTGATTTTTTTTTATAGAACATCATTGTCCATGGTTTATAGAAGGTATCTTCTCTTTCTTTTCCTCCAAGTCCTTTGCTTGACTTTTTCGATTTTGAATATGACGGACATTTGTTTGTGCAGGTGGAGGCAGAGGTTGCGAGGCTGGAGGAACTGAAAGAAAGCAAGATGAAAGAGCTTGTGCTGAAGAAGAGAACAGAGCTAGAAGAGATTTGCAGAAAAACCCATGTGGATGCCGATGAAGAAACTACAATGGAATATGCAGTTGCCGCAATTGAGTCTGGTATGTGTTAGCTACAGTAATAAGTTCTGATTTTCTTACTATGCTGATAAAAGGAAAATAGATGAACAAATATTTTAGAAAATTGATAGGCCCATTGATTGAAGGAAGATAACAGATGAAGCAAACGTAAAAAGGCAAATGAAGTAAATATCGTAAAGGATTTGTGAACAAATGGTACGTGTCAAAAATTTAAAGACAAGATCTTGTGCACCATGCATTTCCAACTTCATTAAGTTCTTATATTGGCATTCTATACATGTTTAAGAAATATGAAGTGATGATATGAAAAGGAAATGGCAATTTTAGTGGCATAAGGAAAATTTAAGACACTTATGGGACTAGGGCTTTGTATAGATTATTCTCATATTCTACTCAAGATATAGATAAAACTGGAAGTGATAATATCATTTTTTAAAAACTCATGGAAATATTACAAGATTAAAAAAGATAAGTTTCTGAATGTTGCTAAGAGGCTACTCGCAAATTGGAAGAATTATGGATAAATGAAAATTAGCTTGTGAGAAACTTATTAGTTATCTATTTATGAAAAATTTGCAAAACATTAGGCATTGATAGGCCTTTAGTTGAAAAAAGAATGTGATTGTTCTCTCTTTGATACATTTTTTTCTTGTTCTTTCTGTAAAAAATTTTTTCCTTGTTCCGAGTTTATTCTCCAAGTTTTATAGGAACATTTCCAGAAAAACCAATTTTATTTCCTTGATAATTTACATTCAAGGGAGAAAATATCTCACCTGTCCTCTTATGCTCTATGTATTAATCCTGGTATCTTGCTAATTTTTTATTCAGGGACTGTCGACCCGTCTTGTATTCTGGAGCAAATTGAGGCTCAAATTGCCAAGGTCAAAGAGGATGCTTTTAGTAGGAAAGAAATTCTTGACAAGGTTGATAAATGGTTGGTTGCTTGTGACGAGGAAAATTGGCTTGAGGATTACAACAAGGTACAGCTTCTGAATTTGTTTCCTTTGAAATCTTTAGTGCATAATGATCAAGGCTCTCTCTCTCTCTCC